ATAGAATTTCTATGGAATATTCGAGAAAATAGAGATAAATTTCCTCATCGCATATGAGTGGTCTTTTTTTTCCTTTCCTAGGAAAGATGGATTTTATCTATATCTCTATTTATTTGCATATAAATTCACAGCCCGACCAAGAAGCCGTTAAAATACAAATTTCCTATCAGAAATCGATCTAAATATTAAACTACCTATCAGATTCTGGATTTTCTGATTAACGTACATAAAATATATATACGAAAGAAATTTATTAATTTTGCAGCCAATGATGAAAAATAATTTCTGCCTGAATTTCTGGCACGAGAAAATGTCATGATCTACATTGTTTACAGTGAAACTAATATCATCATCTTTGTTGTCACTATCGTAACATTTAATCAATTGTGCAAGCTAGGGGTTATATTGTTTTCATTCTTCTGCCTATGTGTTGGTATACCGTTGTTTTAATTCCTATTTCCACTGCATGTGAGTCTATGTCATTCGGTTCAGTTATTTAACTAACAATTACGTCTTTTCTCAAGTTTATTATTCTATGTGGCAATCATGAAAATAGAACTCGGAGTTTTGGAATTAGGTTTCTTATTGCCTGTCTGCTTTTGTTGCTCTTACTGCCTTTCAGTTACGCAGTGATAAAGACCCAGTAAAAATAGGGCTACCAATAACTGATACCAGGGGAAGATCGCAAAAGCTAGGTGGGCTGGTGTAACCAAGGCGGACCTTGACAGACCAAGCATCCATCTCGATGCAACCAGGTTTACCATATCTCTCCTGTCTCAATCCCCGCTGAGCCGCGAGGACGTCGTTTCTAGCCAAATGTCAGGGTTTGTCGCGGAAAGTTGTCGACGAAAATCAAATCCACGCGAATGGCCTCGTTAAACTTTTTGACTCACAGCCATCTCCACCACTGACATCAGGTTGGGGAGGGATCAAGGACAGAGAATGACTACCCCGATGCTCGGATATGAGCTGGTCTTGACGACCAGTAAAATACATTCGTAGATTAAATAAATGGTTCATTTTGAAAATTCCTGAAGGTAACCCGGATATACAGACACCTGAAGAAGGCACAACGACCGAAACTTTATTATGACAATAACAAAAATGACGACATTAATCTGACTTTAAATAAAGCTAAAATAGTTTCTTTTACAGAACACTCAGTGACCTTAATGAATTTACAGGGTGTCCCAAAAATTTTACATCAATTTAAAAGTAATTATCTTGAAAACTACTAAGTCTAGCTGAATGAAATTGAACAGTTTAGGTGTTGAACATCATAAGTTTATTATGGCACCGATTTCATATGTGTTCAATGTGTGTACCGCCTGTGACACGGCACACGTCATGTCGGTAGTTAAGCTCTTGCAAAACACGCTGATGTTGATGATGGCCCACCTGATCTTTTAGCACTGCATAAGCAGCCTTCCTCTTTAATTGTTTGGTACCAAATCCAAATATGTTTGCCAGTTGGTGAAGTTTTTTCCAAATTTTGCATTGAAGGCTCGCTGTACAGTCATGGATGACTGTGTACGATCACATTCCAAGACGCAAAATGACTTCTCTTTGGGAATGAACGGTATGGCTCAAACTGAAAACAGAAGAAAAATAAAACATTAAATATAAAATCTTGATCTGTTTTTATACATTCTGTGAAAATTTGGCGTTATTTCAACAAGAATTACCAAAAATTATTGACCTGCGAATTGATGTCATTTTTTTGGAGGTGGGGGGCACCCTGTATAATAATAGTGAATATTAAACATAAACCGAGCATTATACAATGAATATTTCAGATTCGAATCTAGATAATTACGTGTCAGTGTGCAGATTTATGTATTTACTCGTGAATTCATGCAAATATCTATCAATTTTGTCATAAGTAAATATCTTTGTGATGGCCGAAATCTATTCGCTTTTAATACTTTGTTTTATTCAATAGACAATGTGTAAATATCAAACTTCTAACGCCAATGTTTACAGTCAGCAGTCTTTTTTACAGTTTCGTACACTTAGCTGGACTAGATCATCTGTGGCGTCTCCATCGCTGTATGGCTGGAGCAAAAACCCCATTAATACACTGCTCAAATATGGCTAACTCCGAGTCTGTTCGCTTGTGCTGTGGTTTCTACGCGAAAGTTGACGAGCCAATTGTTATCAAAGACTATACAGGTTACAAATAAACTGGACATGCTGTCTATGCTTGATCGGGATTCCGTTTCTGATTGGGTCGATTAGGCTTTCACAAACAGCCAATGGTGATTCGGAAGATGAACTTTTTAAAGCGTCAGACACAACACCATTGCGTTCATACATTAATGCCGTTACTATGAGGAAATGTCGATTCAAACGAATGAAGATGTTGAATGAAAAAATAGTAAAGGTTTTAAATGAGTCTGTGATTTTATACAAAAATATGATGGAGCGACGAATTTATTAGCTCACGCCATAGGGATATTAGCACAAAAGAACGGGGTAGAGAAAACGAGTTCGAATTTTGGTTATGAGTGTTTACGAACATTTATCATTAATTGTTCTTTTAAATTTTTAATTATTTTTCCCTTCAATCTGCGCCATCGTCAAATATTTTGACAGTGAATGTTGCGTCACGAGCACGCTACGATGATAAATGAAAATTTGGGAAAACCACTCTCTCATAATTCAGTCAGTTATGTGCCATGCGTGATACACACTTAGGTAGGCGAGCATGTATCTTTCGATATATGACTGACGAGGAAGATTTTTTTCACGCAGTAAGTTGTCATTTATTTCTTCGGTAGAAAGGCTATAGAACCCGGTCTGTTCTACTATTTACCCATAGCTGGGGGAGAATTAAAACTAAAAGAATGTGCTTGTTTGTTTGTTCGCGTGTGTTTGTGTCTGTGTGTGTATGTGTGTGTGTGTGTGTGTGAAATACGTATGTGTGTATGTGCGTGTGTACGAGAGTTCAGTCAACGGTGTCCCAAGCAAGAGAAAAAAAAAGAAAAAGAGAAGGAAATTTTTGCGTTTTTATAGACTTAAATTGCGCCTACTAAAGGATGTTTTTTGCAAAGCCAAGTGGAATAACCAACATCGCTAATATTATCGACTGACAACTTGCCTGTTACTTGAATCATATCATACATATACGTAATATAATGTAAATCGTGAATTTTCGCATTTAGTATACACATACTTTTCACCTTATACTAACACAATTCCTTTCTTTTGTGTTGTAAAAAGCTATACAAAATATTTTCGTTGAACTTTGTTTACAAGTAACGTTGTATCTTGTTTCTTTCAACTTCACTGTATCATGTCTCCTTGAGGACACATGGCACAGTGGATAAAGGCATTAGTTAGAGTGAGTTCAATACCTGGAGAAGGCGGTGGAGAACTTGGAGAGGGGAATTAACAGGAGATAACTGATAATTGACATCCATTAGACATGGCACGTGGAACTACAACAGTCTGTCCCACCGAGCAATTTAAAGGGTTCAGTTCGACATTTCAAACACCTGAAGAAGGCCGGAGCGTACAACGACCGAAACGTTGTGATAAATATGGCAACAGAGATGAGGACAATAGTCTGAATAATGTAAATAGTGAACTATTAAAGCATCAGCAATTGACCTTGAGAAGCGGAAGCTATATTGTTTGTCTGAAAGAAGACCCAGCGAGATGAGAATAAATTCTGAGTTGTTTAGAGCCTCTAAAACATTCCCAGAAAGTTGTAGAAGATTAATTTATTAAATAATATAAATAAATCCATGTACTAAATATTAAATAGTTGGATCAGTCTGAGAAAACTACAGTCAGAATTCCTCGATAAATAATGAGGAAAGATGGCTTACGAATTTGGAAGGTAATGGTGGCAGAAGAAAACAACAAATAACTTCCCTGGTATAGGGCAGCATAGTAAAGAGACAAATATTACATAGAGCTGTTGGAAATAGTGGAGATCCTTGAAAGCATACGTTCCGAAGGAACATGCCACATAAAACTTGTTCAATACTAAATAATAATACTGGTTTTAAGGTATACATAATTCTAGGAACAAAATTACGCTCCTGACAGAGTTTACGTGATATGGCGATTTTTCAAGCGTAGCGTAGATGTGGCACTAGGCCGAAAGTAGAGGGCACCCAGTGAGGATCGAACTCACTACTCAATCGTAATTGTTCTAGCCAGACAAGCTTACTAACCATTACACCGCCTCGAGGTGCCACACAATTTATGTGATATACACTATATATATTAATAATAATATGTGTGATAGTGATAAGAAAGTGAGGATAAAGAAGAAGAAGAAGAAGAAGAAGAAGAAGAAGAATTAGTAGCAGCAGTAGCAGTAGTATATAATTTTTCATTTTCGCATGTGAATGTGCACGCATGCGTAAGGGAAGAGCGCATGCGTGTCAGTTAATATTGGAGCACTTCCCTTTTGATGTACGTCCTTTATTGCAATTATCCAAGTATATTTGTGTAGACGACTTTTAAACATTATTAACTGCTGCTGTAAGGTGAGTTGTTGTTGAAAAGAAAAGAGACAAGTCTTGTAACTGACCTGTCGCAATAGCGGTCATACGTTAGCCAACGTTCCTGATTAGTTATTTCATCCTATTTTATAGATTTGTGTATTGACTCGTTCCACACCGGCAAAAAGATACAGATATCGATCTCCTAGCATTGTTCATTGTATCTTTGATTTTAGTTATTTTCAATAATCTCTTCCCCCTCTTCATTTTACCATTACAGTCTACGCTTTAGAAGAATGTCTGAACATGAACAATATATATATATATATATATATATATATATATATTTGTAATAATAAAATATTTCTTTCTGGTAAAAAGTAGAGGATCGGCTCCAAATAAGTAAATCAATCAATCTATGTATCTATCTATATCAGGTTGATCATTATCTATCTATCTATGGCTGATCATTATCTATATATATATATATATATATATATATATATATATATATATATATATATATATATATATATATATCAGGTTGACCATTATCTATCTATCTATCTCCGGGAGATCATTATCTATCTATCTATTTAAGGTTGATCATCATCTATCTATCTATCTATCTATCTATCTATCTATCTATATCTATCTATCTAAGCTTATTTGTTATCTCTCTCTCTCTATCTAAGCCTGTTCATTATTTATCTATCTGTCTTTTCATTATCTGATTTCCTGTCTTGTTCATCTCTTAATATTTTAATCAATTTCAATCTTTTTATAACTATCTATAGATAGATTGATAAAAACTATATATATTCATAAAGACCATTGATTATTTAGCTACCTAATCTGTTTTCTTTCTCTCCCTCATATATATATATATATATATATATATATATATATATATATATATATATATATTCATCTGAAGAAATATTGTTTTAGGATGTGCTATATTTATGGGACGATAATGCTCAATATCAGAGATAAGGCGTATGTAAATATATATATAAAAGTGAACATTGAAATCAACACTCAGAGGCGACAGGCTGTTTCATGCTAGACGCAATCGTCAGGCCTCACGATTGCGTCTAGCATGAAAACAAGGTGTGTCTCTGAGTGTTGACTTGTTCACTTTATATATATATATATATATATATATATATATATATATATATATATATATATTTCAACAAAAAAAATTAAATTATTTCATATTACCATAAATATTAGTGTACATATGTCTGAATAGGCCCTACTGTAGGACCTAGTTGCCAATCTAGAAGCAACCTTAAATTTCTGTAGTCAGGCACAAGGAAAAAGCTCTTCAGAGCAATTGCCATGAAACTATATGTAGGAACAACTGAGGTAATTTACGTCAGTAGCTGAGAAATTGACTGAAGTCAAGCTGGTCAGGCTCGATTAAGTTGGAGATCATTTTATGTATTTTGTCCAGAATCTCGATATACGACAGGAGCACCTAATTATATATAGAAACACTATTCAGAAGAATTATAGATTTGTAAATGTGCAAGATGGACTCTGACGAGATCAGTTTTCTGGCACGACACAGCATACCAACTTTCTTTTGCGATGTCAACGAATACTCATTGTCACTTTCATAATGCTCGTTGTAGCAGAGATTTTGTAATTGCAGATACAACTATAGTAATGCCGTTGAACAATGTTGGTGTCAGACGCCTTCGAATAGCACTTGCACTTGTACTTGCTCGATAATACTCGCTCGAATAGTAACCGCCGAATAGTAATCCGTATAATGATCACTTAGACGTCACGCTAGTTCCTATATATATACATTCACTTTGCCATCTCGTGATCTACTAATTCAAAATGGAATCACCTGTATTTGCTCTCTGGTGATCTGCGTTTAAAATCCAGTGTCGACAGCCACACTTCATTCCTTTATAAAGCTTTCCTTGCAGTAACTGAAACGATATAATCACTGTACTTTATGTCAGTAGAAAACATGAGGTCAAGAGGGAGTAGTGTATTGCTTTTACGGATCTGTCTGTATTTCTGAGATGAGGTATTATGTACACTATTTGCATTATTCGGACTATTGTTCTCATCTTTGTCGCCATATTTATTACAACGTTTCGGCCGTTGTACGTTCCGGCCTTCTTCAGATGGTTGGAATGTCGAACTGAACCCTCTATTTCGCACGGTGGCACAGTGGATAAAGGCGTTAGGTAGATCCAGTGACAGGACCCAAAGAGTGAGAGTTCAATACCCAGTTAAGGCAGTGAAGAACTTGGAGATGGGTATTAACAGGAGATAATTGATAACTAACATCCATTAAACATGGCACGTGGAACTAGAACAGTCTACCCCAGTGAGCGAATATAAAAACGGTCTGGAGACACAAGAGAGAGTTTCCGAGTCAGTGGGAGATTTTTCCCGAACATAAACACCAAGGACATGCATGTGAAAACTAAAGCCCTTTCCTGAAGAGCGGAAGATATCCAGGAACTGAGAATTCAGAGGAAAGGGATTGAAGAATTAGTACTAATTTCTCAGAAAGGTAGGTTGTCCGAAGAGTTTTCCACACTATAGAAATTCGTACGAATACCACGAATATTGGAGAAAGAAAGCTTGAGTTGTTTAGATAATTTTTTTCGAACTTGTTTAGTCGTATTTCGTTTGTCTCTGGCTGGAAATTGGTGCAGACAACAGCAGAGTGTACCCTCAGTTTTGGCCACCGGAATTGCTTTCAGGAACACTTTTCTACGCGCGACATGACACTGCAAAAACCCCGATATATCATCGGAGGAGCCTCTCTAGACGCTGTCCTAACCACCGGTCGTGATGTAGCAAGCAGAAAACGGCCCACCAGGTACTCTCAGACAGACACTATCCAGTCATATCTCAAACATTATAGACAACCACTCTTATTAAGGCCCGAGAAAACGAAGAGAACCGGAAACATCTCCCTAAACAGGAAACAACGAATGATCCTCTACTAATGTCTAAAAGAAGGAAGAGATTTAAGAACCGGGCGATAGGTAGACCTATTTACTCTTATTAAAATAAGAAAAAGGAAATAATAAAAGGAAGAATAAATAAAAAAGGTGAATTGTCTCTTAAGTTTTAAGTTAGTATAAATCAAAATATCCACTCCAAGAATAACGTTGGGTGGGGAATTAAAACTAAATTTATCGTATGAGTGTGAAGTAATCTCTGAGCAAATCATGGTTCAGCATTTCAAGTTAGTTAAGTATTGACCTAAAATATCATCCCAGAAATTTATTTTTTATAATGCCTGAAGTTCGGCGTGATAGGATATCAACAACTGGCTATTTTATTCTACTCTTTTTTTCTAAAATTCTCCGTCTACTATTTCTTTGGATATTTGGGACATGGATGCTAACCTATCCCGTCCGCCAGGAAGCATTACAGCTTTCTACCTTTCTCAAAAGCAGGTGAACAATTTATACATTAAAATGAAAAAGAATTTACAGATTCAAGGTGGAAACTATACAAATAAAATTTCAAACTAAAATTCAAGCTGCAATTCAACGTAAACTACAAGGTAAGGTAAAATCATTAGTGGAATGCAAAACAATGTAAAGTACCCAGGAATGTTAAACCCATCAGAATATGCCATATGCCCTGCATTTGAAAAGAAATGGAAAAAATTGGGAATATATAATTGAATTTGAGGAATAATGTTCATAAACAAAAACAGAAAATATTTATGACATAAGCCAATACATACACACACACAAAACACACACACACACAGATATATATATATATATATATATATATATATATATATATATATATAGTGAGACAGAGAGAGAGACAGTATATCTTAGTTCAAGCATATTTGGTTGAATAATCTAGGCATATAATGTCCATTTATTTTTATTTTAATCCTCTCTAATTCACGGATCATTTTCTTAGTGTTGTTAATTAACTTATTAAGAGACGGCTTATATTAAACATCTCGGATTCGCACATTTAAAAGAACATTCCTGTCCACATTCATGTTTTAGAGAAATATTAATTGACAATACAAGTATACTCTATTATGAAAATAAAATACAAAAACTTCAACTTTTTGAAGCGCTCTATATAAAAAAAATGAAACCAACGCTAAATAAGATTAATAACGTGTAGAGCAATAATGTTTTAAAATGCTTATAAAAGCAATGATTTGAAATACTCAAATTGTATTTTTTTAATTGCTGGTTAATTATTTTTTATATATTAATAATACAAAAAATATAAATTAAGTTACCTCCCTTATATATTTTTAACTTTAATTTTTAAATTGACTTTAACCTAGCGCGATTCATGCGAATTTACAAAAAATTCACAACTATCAATTACATTAAATTTTGTCTTAGCAATTTACCCATAAACATTATCTTGAATGAGAGTGAAAATACTAGGAAAAATAAAAAAATGACCAAAACTCCGGCGTTTTTCTTAATCAGTATAATAGCAACACTAAGAAATTGATCCGTATATTTGAGAGGATTAAAATAAAAATAAATATACATAATTTCTAAGAAATTAAATTTTATATAATCCGACATTATTCCATATTACAACAAACATTAGTTAGTACTCGTGTTTGAATAGGCATCTCAGTGTAAGTAACTTTCACCGGCTCTGACAGGCGAACATTTTTAATAAAGAACTTAAACATGTGTAATCAACGCTGCATCTCCTTTTTATTTCCACGCAATAGGTGTGACGCAGACTCAACTTTTCTTCATTAAAATGTTCGATTATCCATGCCAGCAAAAGTAAAGTTACAAGAATTTGTTCCCTGAGTACATCTCTCAATACACGTTTCTTGCTTCCTGCTGCAAGATAACCCACCAGGAAATATGGGATTCGTGAAGGCTGAAAATGATTTGTAAGAAGATGGACTGCCATTGAAGGAATGTTCTTTGCAATACTTCAAAAGAACTCAATCTAAACCACTATATATATATTTAAATATAAACAAAAGTAAAACTTATCTTAGCCGACGAGTTTCAACCTCTGAAGGACTTTATCAAGGCAAATGGCGAATATAAGTTTAATTTTCGTCTTGATTCATATTTTCGTTTTTCAGACATAATCGCACTCTATTTATCTCTCTCTGTTTATACATATACATATATATATATATATATATGTGTGTGTGTCTGCATAATATGACTTATAACGTTTATAAATAGATTTATGCCTATAGTCATGTATGTATAAACCGAACACTTCTTTGTATTTCCACGAAATAGGTGCGACGCAGATTCGATCATCACATACATGCATATATATTTATAAATATAAAAGACAATAGGAAAACTGTAATATTAGCCGACGCGTTTCGTCCAATATGGGCATTTTCAAGGCAAAAACGAAATGAATTTATTACGAAAAAAGGAACTAATAATAACAAAAAAATGTCCTTAGCAACTGGAAGAATTTAGAAAACGCTATACACTCACACACACACACATATACATATATATATATATATATATATATATATATACATCATCATTATTATTATTATTGTTATTACTTAAATATGGATATCTTCCGCACTTTAGGAAGGGCTCTAGTTTTCACATGCATGGCCTTGGTGTTTATGTGCAGGGGAACATATACATATGTACATATGTATGGAAATATTTGGCGGGAAATGCTCTCCTGTGCTTAATCTCC